ATGTACACCACAATGAAATGCTACCCAATTCTGTGCTATGCTCACAATTATTGCTATGATTGAGGCCATTATTATAACCACTGTTACAATCTTTTTCATTGAGAGTCTTTGTAAGAACACTGGATCACAAGGTTTGTTTGAACTGTAAGGTCAGCGAGTCAAACATACCAGTCACTCCTTGGAAATCCTATACAGGCTCGCTATGACTTGGAACTGACTTGATGGCAGCTAACAACAACAGTATACACTCAGTACACATTAAACATGTGACAATGAGGCAGTGTTTACGTATGGAAATTCAGTATTAAAACATGAGAGTTTAAAAAATTCTGAAATTAAAGAGGCAAGATTTTTCATTGCAGGTGTTAGATTTTGCCATCTTTTTATACCCACATATCAAAATATATGTAGGTTAGGTTGTTGTACTGAGGAGCCTCTCCAGAGCTCTCTTTATGTCCCTGTTCCTCAGACTGTAGATAAAGGGGTTCAGCATGGGGGTCACCACTGTGTACATCACTGAGACCATTGCACCCTTCCTAGCAGAAGATGTGACAGCTGAACTGAGATACACCCCAAGTCCTGTTCCATAAAATAATAAAACAACTGACAGGTGAGAGCCACATGTAGAAAAGGCTTTACATCTCCCACCTGAAGATGAGACTCTCAGAATGGAGGAAACAATTTGAATGTAAGAGAAAAGGATCCCTGAGACTGGAACACCACCAAAGATAGCACCAAAAAAGTACATTATTATGGTATTTGTGTAAGTTTCAGAACAGGCAAGGTTGAGAAGTTGTGAAGGATCACAGAAGAAACTGGGGACTTCCACATCTGTACAGAAGTTAAACTGTGACACCATTGAAATGTGCAGCTGGGAGTCCAGAAGGCTGATAAGAAAAGATACCAAAACTAGCAAGCCACAGAGTTGGGGGTTCATGATAATTGTGTAGTGAAGGGGTTGACAGATGGCCACAAGCCTATCATAAGCCATCACAGTAAGGAACATATTGTCCAGACATGCAAACAGATATAAAAAGGATGCTTGTGTCAGGCAGCCCACATAAGTGATGGATTTTTGCTGTGTCTGGATGTTCACCAGCATGTTTGGGACTGTGGTGGAGATGAAACCAATGTCAGCCAAGGACAGGTTGGAGAGGAAGAAGTACATGGGGGTGTGGAGGTGGGGGTCAGAGCTGACAGCCAGGATGATAAGCAGATTCCCAGCCAATGTGATCAGGTATACGAACAGGAACAGTCCAAAAAGTATTGTCTTCACTTCTGGATCTTCAGAAAGGCCCAGGAGGAGGAATTCTGAGACTTCTGTTAGATTCTGTCGCTCCATGTACTTGGGATAGCTTTTGGAAAAAGAAAAGAAGATTGTTAAGAGGAAACATGCAGACAGGCACCCAGCATTGTATTTGCTATTTCATCTTATTATTAACTATAGAAACTCACAAGTAAAGCATGCACATAAGTATGTGCTTACACTTGAGGACCTAATACCACAGTAACTTCAGCAATATTTTTCAGTTGTAGCAAATCCAAGCTCTTTACTACTCAGAACTCTTTCCTTTTTCTGGGCTCTTCTCCTTTTTCTGTACATATTCACTTTAGAAACACTGGGATAAAGAATGTAAGAATGGCGTGAACTTATTAAGACAAAAATTCCATTCAAATAATCTAGTGGTTCTATGATAAAAGCATACTGTAAGGTCAGCAGTTCAAACCCACTATCTGCTCCACAGCAGAACAATAAGACTGTCTGCTCCCATAAAGATTTGTAGTCTCAGAAACCATACGTATATGGTTTGCATACATACAGTGGTGATTTGCATCTTGCTGTGATTCTGGGTGCTATGCCAACATTATTTAAAATACCAGCAGGGTTGCCACTGTTGGACAATTTTCAACAGAGATTCCACACTAAGACAAATTGGGAAGAAGGAGAGGCAGGCCACTTCTGAATTTAGCCAATCAAAATAGCAATAGTAGTGGTGCATTGTTGAATACAGTGCTGGAAGAGGAAAACTTTATGAATAAGAGGGGAGCATTGTCAGATATAGTGTCAGAAGATGAGCTTCGCAGATTGGAAGGCACTTATATATGACTGGAGAAGAACTGCCTTCTCAAAGAAGAAGAGTTGATCATAATGAAGTGAATGGAGCCAAGCTTTTGTGACCTTCATTTGCTGAAGGGGCACATTTCAAAATTAGAGAAACAGCTTCCAACATGTATTAATAATCAGAACATGGAATATACAAAATATGAATATAGGAAAATTGGAGTTTGTAAAAAATGGAATGGTGTACATAATGATGAATATTCTAGGCAACAATGATTTAAAACTGACATTGGCCATTTTTAATCCAACAGCCATATGGTTTACTATGCAAGGAATGACAACTTGAACAATAACGGCATCACATTCATCATTGAAAAGAACACTTGAAGATCTCTCTTGAAATACAATGCTGTCTGTGGTAGAACAATATCCATATGCCTACAAAGACCAGTTAATGCCATTGTTATTCAAATTTCTTGACTAACCACTAATGTTAGTGATGATGAAACTAAATTTTTTACCAAATTATTCTGTCTGAAATTTATCAAACCTGCAATTGAGATGAAATGATAATTACTGGTGATTAGAATGGAAAAGTTGGAAACAAACAGGAAGGATTGTTCTTGTTAAGTTCTGTTGAGTTGGTTCCCATGCTTAGTGACCCTGTATATGGTTTCTGAGGAGCAACTGGTGGATTTGAATTGACGACCTTATGGTTCAAACTGACCTTGTTGTGGTCAAATGCTTATCCTACAGCACCACACCAAGATGGAAACAAAGAGGAAGAATTGGTAGTTGGATATTGTGGCCTGGGTAATAGAAATAATGCTAGAGTTCACATGACAGAATTTTGATAGCAAATGACTTCTTCATTGCAAATACCTTATTAAGACTACATAAAATGTGGCTTGTATCATCATGGACCTCATCTAATGGAATACACAGAAATT